GAATGTTTAGTTTTAGATAAACATTTAAGGTATTTAAAAAGTCACCATTTAACAACCATATTCTGAAATGAGTACTGAGGAATGAACAGATTTCTTCTTGTGAGGTATGTACAGTGTCCACAAAATATTTAGCTTATCAGTTTCCAAAGTAGGATCTTAGGAAAAATACATCTTTTAAAATTGTGATTTGAAGCTTTGTGGTAGAGATCATTGTGAATCAATAAGCATGGAACTCAAAATCATCACTTTTTTTAGGTTTGAAATGCATTCATGTAAAAGTAAACATGTTTTAAGGACAGTAAATAAAATATTTTGAATATTTCTGGAAACAACATGTAGTTGAACAGCTTAGGAAAATACAGATTTTGGGATTCACCTCCTTCGAGTCAGCAGGCCTACAGTCTGGTTTTGTTTGTTTGGTGCTGCAAACCTGGAAGCCTGTTTACATATTTTAGGCCAAAAAAGACTGTTTGATCATATTGCCTCACATCTTGACATCTTACTCTATTACACTTGCATTATGCTGTATGACTTTCTGAAAAACATTCAGTCTTGATCTGTAGACATTCAGTCTTGATCTGTAGGCAAGTATACATGCATATATATATATACACACACACATAAAATTGTGATTAAAAGTAGTAAAATACTCCTGTTATTGATGTATTCTTCAGATCATTGTGGATGACCCACAACTGGAAACAGTGTAACATCTGTCAGTTCAGTAAAACTTCAGTCAATGCAGTACTTGTCCAAAGTTAGGGCAACAGGTAACTAGACAAGTTCAAGGACATCAGATTCATAAAACAAAACAAAAAAACACCCCCCCACACAAGTCCCTCTAACATCCCTATTTTAACCTCACAGTTGTAGATGATGGGGCCAGGGGGGTGGGGAGTGTAAAAGAAGAAAAAATTACAGTGGCCAAACTTGCATGCTCTCTCAAATCAGTGTCTCCTATTGCCACTGAGATAAAGTAGTTGGCTGGACAAACCATTGGTCTCCCCTACCAGAATATTTCTTATATGCTTATTAGTGTAGAGCTGAGCCCAGATCAATTAGTTCTGTGGAGGGTAAGGGATAATCCATCCATATGACAAACTCATGTTGCTTCCAGGGCCAGAGCTTTTATTACTGCCTATCTCTGTGCACATCTTTTGAAACTACAGTGCATTTTGAGCGCCTCTGAAACAGCAAGAGATATCACACACAGAGGCAGATTTCACTCAGAATTTTCTGGTGAGAGAAAAATCTATGAGAAAAATATCCTTTCTTATTGTGAAGCGTTTAAAATAATGATGGATTTACCACCTGTTCCTGGGATTGATTAAAGTGACAGTGCTTCATGCTGTGATGTGATAATTTCTGACCTGTGGACTATAGTCACTGATGACTATAGTCACTGATAACTGATGACTGTAGTCACTTCCTGTAAACCTGTATCTCATGTTATGGAACAGCCAAATGACAGGGTATTGCAAACCATAAAAAAACAGTTTGGCTCTTTTCATCAGGCTGAAAACCTGCAATCCAGCTGTTGATTTGGAGAATAGAGAGAGGAGAACAAACAAACAAATTCTATATGCTCTGAAATCCAATCATTTGTGCAGAAGTAAGAATGCAACCACTTTTCCAGATTTGACTACAACCTAGCATATAGGGCACAGGAGATGTAGAAGGTATGCAGGGGAAGGAGGCACTTGAGAAAACAGCTCTAGTTTCCAGGACTCCCCCCTAGTATGCGGAGATGTACATGGAGGGAATGAATTTGCCCATATTATGTTTGTATCAGCAGATGCTGAACCCTTCCTGAATGAAAACCAGATTTACCCTTACCTACTAAAGTCAAAATCAGCACCTGCAGCTGATGTCAGCAGTGTTTTTCACAATATCATTCTCTAGAGAATTTGTAACAATAGACAGCTGAACACAGGAACCAGATGCTGGAAAACAGAAGATAAGAAAAGTAAATGTCATTTGCCTTGTTTAATATACAGTCTGAACCCTTCCTGAATGAAAACCAGATTTACCCTTACCTACTAAAGTCAAAATCAGCACCTGCAGCTGATGTCAGCAGTGTTTTTCACAATATCATTCTCTAGAGAATTTGTAACAATAGACAGCTGAACACAGGAACCAGATGCTGGAAAACAGAAGATAAGAAAAGTAAATGTCATTTGCCTTGTTTAATATACAGTCACTTAGGTTACCATCACGCACAGAGTTTGGTTGTTTAATTAAGAAGTTTGTGCTGATGTCATGGATTCAAGTCAGGTAAATACATTGCCATTTAGCACATACATAAAACTTTTGATTAAACACACATAAATGGAAAATTAAAGCAATGCAGATACTGTTACTGCAATCCACCCTGAAGAACTACTGCAGTTATTAAGGTATCTTTAGAGTTTTTAATTCGTTAAAATGTTAATGAAGGAGAATATTGGCTGAGCTGCTCTTGGTGCTGTATCCTAGCTGCTGTAAACCTCACAAAGGTCTGAAATCATACAGTGAGGGCATTATTTAATATCCTACGTGTCACTAGCACTCAACATATTTTCTGTGAGATATTAGGGTTGGCTGGAACGCTACAAGCTTTTATTTCAATTACACTTCTTGCATTTATGGTATGAATTTATTTTGTTTTAGGTAATACTCATCCATCCTCCTTTACAAATACTGTCTTCTTTCCCACCTCTATATGCATAACCTTTTTTACTTGGAGTAAGCTTAGAGTGATAATTACAGTCAAGTTTCCTGGGGTCAAATCAATTTGTGCTTTAATGCATACTGGGCAGACTTGGAAAACTCAATCTTTTTCTGTGCCACAGCTTCGGAGTAAATATCATAGTACAACCACCATATATGAATAGAAATTTAATGTAAATAGGCATATGGCTTTGTAAAAGTAACATACACATGAGCTTGTGTTTTCCTGTATTTTGCATGTTTCTCAGCCCAGGAGCTTTAGCTAGAAACTGTGATTAAAAGATGTTTGAGGAATCCTAAAGGTACAGAAACTTTTTTTTTTTCCTCTCATTTCTGAAAGGGTCATTTTGGACACACCTGAATAGCTTACACTTCCCTGTTCCTTCCCATTGCTTACTATTTATGCTTATTGCTTTCACATTTAGGAAGACATAAGCATATTTGAAAGAATCATACAAAATCCGACAGTTAATGACACTTTGCAAAGTTGATCGTTTATGCCATGTACAGTCTATTAGGTTTCCCTATACATTTTCCAGAGTCAGTAGGTCTGGATATATTACAGCAAAACCTCAATATTTCCAGTTGTCAAACTATTAATATAATGCTTCATTATGAAATTTTTTTCAATCTGAAGTTATACATGGCTTGAGTCTTTTGCCTTAAGCCATAAAGAAAGCAATGTTATGAAAGGTAAACTCAAAGAAAAGACTTTGTAGTAAAGGCAAAGTTGTGACTGGCATGTGGAAAGCATCTTAACTGTACCAGGAACTAAAAGGCTGAATATATACAGCGTTTTGGGGGAAGGGAATGTTTTCCATCTGAAGCATAAATTGCACATGAAATATAAAAAGAACAGGGATGTGTTGGGACAGCTACATTATGGTTTAGCAAAACCTTAAACAGAAATACATTTGGTATAAAAAGACAATACCAATGTAACTCTTGAATCAGCTTTTATTTTCACAGGGGGAAAAAAATCTTTGTCTTTTATAGCTTCCAAGTTTCCCCTGCTGACTTGTGATAGCCTCAAACCAAAAGAACAAGCACCATTTACACTTCACGTTTTTATTGTTACGCCTCCAACAACTGGAAGAAAAAAAAACCCAGCAAGCAAACCCTAATGTCCTCCTTTAAGAAAGACCTTTGAATGACACACATTGAAACTAAACTCTATGCCAGCCAAAATTAACAAAGAGCATGCAATAAGCTACTTCTCCAAACATCTAAAATACATATACAGGCATACACAAACTTACCATTAGCATTTTCAATGTTTGGTGTAAATATAAATACAATCTAACTTTACTGGTCAAGGTGGAAAGAAATAACAGAGAAGACTGCAGTAAACTCCTTAGAAAGTGCTTCACACAAATATAGTATGAAAGAGAAATTAAGCCCTTTAGATTATCATAACAAATTTACAGAAATTATGAAAACACCTTCACAATTCTACAGGATTAATTTAAAAAATACTGTAAGGACATTAAAATTTTCTAACATAATTTGTAGGACTTTTGCTCAAAGAACTTTGTACTTCTACTTGAACACAACAGTAAATAGCAAGTAAGGATGAACACCCAAGTGCAGTATTGCACAATATACAAGGCAACACTGTTGATAGTGAACACAGGAAGAAAAGTAACACGCCATAGCTATATCTAACCTGTGGGACCCAGAACTGCTTCCCCATGCCAAGAAAAGATGCAGTTTTGCGTCTTCCTCCCATTCCTCCACGTCCTGGTTTGACGAGAGCAAATAAATAAAAATAGCTGAGACAGATAGGAGCCTCTACTCTCTCTAATGTGTGACCAGCATGTTAGAGAGTTTGGAGTTTCAGGTGTTGGGCCTGGGACTGGGCATGCCCATGAATTCACTTGTCCTCCAGGTCAGATATCAATCACCTGCCTATCTATCTGGTAAGTTTATGACACATCTGAAAAAAAAAAAAAAGATTTCTGACTTTAAAACCCTGTATTTGCGCCCTTTGTTCCTCCCATGTGCATCTGCATTCTAGCTGTGGTTGCAGCTCCATGCAATCCTGTATCCTCGACATACCCTTGAAGAGGTTCACTTGTGTTCTGGTACTGTTTTCACCACAACAATGTAGACATCAGCATGGTCTTCATCTCCCAATAAAATATGCAGATGTACCAATTTAGTGACACTAAAAAGAGTTTGTTTGACCACAATAATCCCCCCACATATTTTCTCTTAAAAAGTAAGGAAAGAACATTGTTCACGCTTTCTAGAAGTCATTTACAGGCAAATAAGGTCTGAGACAGAAGACCATGGGATATCAGGATTCCTCTGCTGGAGACAACTGTGTGGGTGGAGGCAGTGGAGGTAAGAAATCTGTAGTAATAGCCCCTTCTTTGTGTGTCTTCTTCCTTCCTTTCCCCTCAACCCTCTCCAGAAGAGAGATCATACCTCTTTTCTAAATTTAGGCAACCAAAAAATGTTTTCACTGTATTTATTCATAACAACCTCTCTAGTCATAAGTAGCTCATCTTGCTCTTTTTTCCCTTTTTCATCTGCAATAATAGTTGTACAGAAATAAACTGCAAATAAAATGAAATTTAAATGAAGCCTGGAATTTTCTTGCTTCTAAATGGGGAAAATACATTCATATCACTATATAGTTTATTAACTGTGTCCATTGATTTTCCCCTCTTCCATTGATTATATGTCTGCCTAACTTGAAAAGAGTTACTCTCTATTACAAAGAGCTGAGAACCAAATCAGCTGCACAGTTTACAGGAAATTTAATAAATTAAAATTTAATTAGTAAGAAACAGTCAAGTACTTTTAAACATGGGCCTTTAAGGAACTCTTTTCTAAGGAAACATTTTTTTCTTTTTCCTCTATGTTTTCTTTTGCCATTCCATATTAATTTTTGATACTTTATGAGATATCTTTTCCCTCCAAAGAATGCTGATATCTTATCTACTGTGTATAATAATAGCAGCTTTGAGAGAGGTTATGGATTAGCCTTGGACATACTAAGAATGCATAGTCAAATAAAATATTTCCTGAAACCAGGCAGTTCTGTGTTATAACCACCATTTGCTGATCAATATTGAATGCTACATGGGGGTGAAGTGTAAGCCAAAGGAGCAAGGTACTTAATTTAGGGGAAGCAGAATTATGCTACAGAACTCTGAGATAATCTGTTGTTTGCCTACCTACTCATTTATTTATTGTAAATTACAGTAACAAGGATCCATGTAAATTTATGTCAAGATTTCTTTTGAGAACATCAAGATCTCAATTATTACATCGCATAAAAATTCAGTTCCACAGAACTGGATAGACAAGCTAATTTGAGATGCACACTTCTCCTATGTCAATAAAGAAAAAAAAAGATTGAGAAAGCATTTATAAATATGCCCATACTTATAAGACATACATTGTTACAGAAATAGCTAATTGTCACTGCCATAACCATTACCAATGTCTTTGTCTCTGATGATCCTCAGGAAAAGTTGTGTTGAGAACACGTTTAGCCAGCCACACAGAAAACTATAGAAAAAGAAATGTGTGAAAAAGAATATTAAGAAATCAAGATACTCAGCAGTGCATCTTCTAAGTTATGTCTTCATTCCAATGTGTTTCAGATGACTTGGTGCTGGATATTGAATGGAATGGGGATGGCATTTTTTATCGGTGTGGTCACTATACATTGAGTAATCTAATACATTATCTGGTTTGGGGTTTTTTTTGTTTGTTTGTTTGTTTTCCTTTATCAAAGTGTTTCATGCTTCTCCTCCAACCTGCAGCTCTTCACAGAAATTGCAGAATGATCAATTTATGATATGAGAAAGGACACATTTGACAAGTTCATTTTCCACCCATATAGGGTTTTTGCTTGCTAACCTAGCCAACCCCAAACAAAGAAAAAGAATCATGTAGACTAAAAAAAAAAAAAAAATTTCAACAGAATGACTTTCTGCTGATAGTAAATGGTGGACATCCCCAGACATGCTGAGTCTGTAAAATGTAAAGGGAAACCACAGCAGTCAAAGATTATTTCAGATCAAATGTATGAATACTATTTTTCCAGTTTGAACATCTGAGCCCACTTCACACACATAAAGAGTTTACTAATTAAAAAAAAAAAAAAAATCCACAAAATATTTTATATGTAAAACCATTTACTATAACTGGAAATAGGATTTAGAATATTTGTCTGTTCTTGTTCCTTGGTTTTAGTGAATAAAGGGCATGATATTTTCTAAACATATTGTAACACACAACATTTTTGCATGTGATTTTCTGTAGGCGATTGTCTGCAGGCTCTCCATAGAACAATTAAAATTTGAAAAGCTGAAATAATATTTTATGTTATAAATTCAAAATATTTAAGAAGTTTATAGAAGATTACCAGTCATAAAGAAACACAATATAGATTGGTCAAAATTAAATTGCAGTATCTTTTTACAAATGTATATGTCCTTATACTTCTTTTGCATAAACATCTACAATCTTATGTGGAGTTACTCTGTCTTATACATTAAAAGCATGTTTTGTAATTATATAACTCTAATATAGTGAGAGAATGGTTGGATTGTTCTGTTTTACACAACTAGTATTTTATTTCTATAAGATGCTGGATAATGTTTTGCTTTATTTTGTTATTCTTAAATATGAAAATGATCCCATTTTTTTTCACAAACTGTGATGTTGCAAAATTACTTCACAGATTAATGAAGATTCCTCAAATGCGAAGTGCAAACCAAAGCATACATAGGAATTAGAAATTGTTACATGTAGAAGAAGTGAAAGTTTGCAACTGTACTTCAAGTGGAGTACTTCAATAGAAAATTGGCAGTAGGAGGTAGAACTCTTCATTGCGGGGAAATCACATTCTATTCCCAAATTTATCATGCTTGAAAATTCTGTTTATCATTTGGTAGAAATATGAGATAAGTAGGAAACTTAAAATACCCATTACAGTTTGAGCTACCTGACATCTTTGTAGATAGTTTGAACAGGCAGATAAAATAAATTAACCTGTTCTCTGAGGATCTATGTAGAGTTGAGGAGCAGGGTAAGGGAATGGCAATGGACAGATGTGATTTTTTTTCCAGAACCACTTGTTAGTGCAGAAAAGATCACAGCTCCCACTACTTGCTCATTGTCGCCCCATTTCAAGGGGTTATCAACCCTGGATTGCCAGCAGAGTTGCTCATATGAGCAATCAAAATGAGGTTGGCAAGCTAACACTATTTACACTCACAGCCTGAATCTCTGCGATTCACCTGCATCTGTCTTCTTTTACTATATAGGACCTCTTTTCAGCAGATGACCAGTTCTCCAAGTTTAGAAAGAGTTTGTAGTAATAAAAAATTTCAAATAGTAAAATTTACAATCTTAGTAGGTAAAGCACTAACTTTAAATCAGTTTATAGTCTCTGAAATATTCTTTAGGTAGCAGAACTTCCTGGGAAAAACATTTAGCAGGTTTTCAAATATGAACTACATTATTACCACAGTTTCAAATAAAATTATATTAAAATAACATACCAGATATAATTACCAGTAAAATGCATATTGTGTACTTATTATTTCTGCTAAAATTCCACATATACAATATATTCCAATTTAAACTAAGAATTTTGTTTTCTGTTCTAAGTCAAGATAAACAATATATAAATCTCATTTTACCCCCTGTCCCCTTCTTTCTTTTACTTTCCAGTTCGGAACTGTGCGAGATTTTGTTTCAGTAATGGCTGTTTGTTTTTAAAGTGGGAAACTTTTAGTGTCTCTGGACATATTGCATTCTTCCCATGCATAACAGTCCTGACAAAGACCAGGGCTCCTGTAAGTTGTCTCTTCCTTTGCAGTCTGCCAGGCAGGCTGCTATGGAGGTAATACCTCTGGGCCAGAGGCCAATTTAATTCATAGAACAATAAGCAAGTTAAATAAATTTCTATCAATAACAATGTGTGTTGTACAAGTATATGCATGTGCAGGAAAAAAACAAAAGCCCCAGGGAGACTGATGGAAATTATTTCAAAAATACATAAAGTAACTTTGTAAATACAGGACAGAATGTGCAGCTACTCAACTTTTGAGAACTTACATGTCTAATATAAGCACTTACCTGACTAATGTTAGTACTATAAACAGTTTAACAAATTACTGATTAGTCAGTGATAATTTATTGTGTGAGAATCGATAAGTACTTCCTTATATTCAGTGTCGAGAAAGGATGTTATGTTTATGGAGGCTCCAGCCTCCCTAACGTCTTATGTTAAGTTATTTCCCTTCTCCTGACCCATGGGATTGATCGCTCACCGAGGTCCCAGACACGGCTCTTGCTCTAGCTGCTCCCCCGGCTGGCTGGCTGAGGATGTTAAGGAGGCATGTAACAACACAGGGCATCATAACAGGCTCTTGGAAGTTTTAAAGACTCAAAAAGAAGCTGTCCTGTCGTCATGAGAAAACTAGGTTCAGGTGCTAGTCATCAGTCCTGAGATCTTATTTGGCATATTTTTAAAAAGCTTCTACTGCAAGAAAAAAGGAGAAAGCTATATTTATGCCACAAGGTGAGGAATATCTCGACAAGAAAGAATGTGCACTGTTTCTTAGGGACAGGAAATTGTCCTGTGTGGCACAAAACAAAATCATCTGACCAAAAGAAATACGCTATATTTTGTACTTCACATACAAATAAGTCTACTCTTTTTCCTGAAAATAAGAATCAAATATGAAAATAAGAATCAAGTATTTTCAATGAACTTTGTATATTGATTACATAGAGCTCCATATTCTGCGTCAAGATACCCATAAAATATTTAAGTTTATTTTCTCTGTATTACCTGCACAATTGGCAAGTTGACAGGGACTTTTTTCGAGTGCTGTATGCATGTTGTATATAATTCTTTCAACCCATTGTATGCAATCCTTAAGAATTTTCACAGTTAAAGTGCTAAAACTGTTTGGATAGTCATCTCATCCAATCTTACCTCTAGAAGACCATTACAATAATCAGATCACATTTGGTGACTAGTGTAGGGCTACAGTGTTAAACTAGAGGAAAAAATCAAAGTCAAGAAATTTAACAAAATCCACCACAATCACCCTTCATACAGGTGAGGTAATAAAAAAATGCAATGGCTTAGCTATGAAACATGGAGATAAACACTGGCAGGAATACAGAAGCAAGGAAACAAGGAAAGAAGTGGAATAAAATAACTTATCTGGCCTTAGTGACTATCTAGAGTAATACCTTTACTGATATTGAACAGTATTTTCTCAGGTGGATGATATACTATATTATTCTACTCAGAGAAATCAAAAAAATGCTGGGATAAGATTCTTTCTGTCCACATTTGAAAAACACTCAGGTCACCGATCGGTGCCCAGATGTGACTGTAAGAATATATCTGAGGAAAATATACTGCAGATGCTCATAAAAAGGAACTGTGGGTCCCTGTAAATGAAACTAGAGGAATAGACTTCTGAAAAAGAGTATTATGTGAGAATTTCTAGTGCCTGGGTCAGCTTCAATGGCTTGCTTTGGCTTTGGTTTTAGGCACTTTTTCATAACGGTGCTATACGGCAAACTAATCAGTGCCTGTAAGTTCACAGGGATATAGTTTTGAACTCTTATGAAATGGTGTAGTAGGAAAAGGAGTGTTAAACCCCACTCGATGCTTTGAAAATTTACCTCCTAGTGTTCTTGAAAATCATTTCTCCTGTGTGGAGAGGACTAGAAGGAAGTAATTAATGGAGGTAAGGTGTTCCTAAAGGAAAAAAAAAAAAAACAACTAGAAACACAAATTGCTTAAATCGGACCATTTATAGCTGAATTTGGGAAGTTCAGAAGCTGTAATCCTTAAAACCCACTTATTCTATGTTGTTACAAGGTAACTGGTTGCCTTATCAGCAATCAATAAATGGGAAGACAAGTGTTATTTTGCAAATAGAACCTTGGGACTTTTACACCCCTGTCATCTTCAAAAAGAAGACTTCTGGTAGTTTCTGGGCAGACTATTCAAAGAAATACCATTTTTTTTGGTTTAAGTTGCTTATTTTAAATACTACTCCAATATCTTCTGCATCCCCCTGTGTCCTTATGAGTTTGTTTAGAGCTATTTTTTGTGTATGACTGAGTCTCAAATTTGCAATTTTTCCAACAGTGAAATAGAAGATAACCACTGCTGACCCCAATTACAGTCAAGATTGTACAGACTTATTCATATACGCTGAATGATTTGGTCTGTAATAACAATACATATATTTATAGAATTCTTCTTTTCTACCTCCCTGAAGCTACACACTGACCAAGATAAAGGAGATGGAAATTTAAAATACATATTAACAGGAGATGGGGCTGGCAGTCTGTTCATTATAGATGAAAATACAGGAGATATTCATGCTGCAAAGAAATTGGACAGAGAAGAAAAGTCCCTGTATGTGCTACGTGCCAAGGCTATAGACAGAAAAACTGGAAGACAAGTGGAGCCAGAGTCTGAATTTATCATTAAAATCCACGATATCAATGACAATGAACCAAAATTCACCAAGGACATGTACACCGCCAGTATTCCGGAGATGTCTGGAGTTGGTAGGTAAAAACTTATCCTTATGTAAAATACAAATAGGTTTGAGTTGATTTGGAACTTATAAGTAATGTATTATTTGAGGCATATAATACTAGCTTCTCTGAATATCCATGGGACAGGTTTTTTTGCCAGTAATGTATCATAAATGATTGATTCCTGCTTTTATTTATTTGTTTCATCTTTATCCACTTTTTAATCCTTTTTCCACACTATAAGCTACTCTTTACTCTTTTAAGCCCACCGGAAGCATCAAGGAATAGCATATATGGTTGTCTTATTAGTTACTATATAGTTTTGCCACAGCTGAGAATATCACTTGTATAAAATGTATCCTTTTTGTATTTGTAAAGTCTAATTTACCAAACCTTTCTGTACCTTTAGACACAAATGGCTTTAAGCACGTAAGTATGTAAATCAATTAATGTGTCAAAATCATGCCACATGTAATCTTACAAATACCTAAAAATCTGTTTTGGGGTGGTTTTTTTGTTGTTTTTTAATTATTATTATTTCTCTTTGGTATCAATATTAGTAGTTGTTGTTGTGGGTTTTTTTAATATGGACTTGTCTGTTTGGGTTTTTTTAAGATACCAAACATATGAACACCTTCCCCAAAGAAATAACTCTTTTTGTTTAAAAAATATTTTTCTTCATGGATAAAAACTTACAGCTATTCACAACTGCTGCATTGAAAAGTAAAAATGTGGAATGACAGAAGAAGACAGGTGAGAAATATAGCATCAAAGGAAAATAATTCTCTGAGTTTTGTTCAAATAATATAAAGTGATAGATAATATTCACCTGCACACATTCATCAGAAGTTATCATGATTACCTAAGTGCTCCATTCTTTTACAGTAGAGACAGTCTCTGCTAAGATGAGCAAGCATAAAATACATAGGCTATGTGAAACAACTGACAGATAAATTCTCAAGAGTTATTTACTTATAATGAATTACTGTAATGGTTTGCAAAATCAGCCCTGGATGATGGCATTGCTAAGAGAGACAATAAAATAGCAATCAACATTTGTGACTAATACGTATCTTTGCAAAATGATTTCCAGAAGTTAATAATTATCTCTGAGATCAGTAGCAGAAGTATAACAGAACAGGACTTTATTTTATAACTCCCTTTTATTATCATGAGAAGGGAATAACTACACTACTATGTATAATGCGAAGAGTCCAAGAATGTTTTTTTTTAAAGATACATGGAAAATAGAGAAATCCTTTCCATTCAGAATTTACTTTGCTGATAATCTGTGAAGGAAAACTGTGGCAGTGCACTTGTCATATTTAATTTGAAATATATTTGTGAGGAAGGAACTCTATAGGAATAGATAAGATAAAAAGCATGATGTCCATGTTTAACCTTATCACTTAGTCCAACTTCATTACAGTCAATGGAGAAACATGAGTAAAAGAGAACAGAATAAGATCCAGTGCTTTGGCACTGCCTGTGAAATTTTTAGTCTATGAAATGTCTATATTTGATGAGGATGATGATAGTACAAGTACCATTACGTACTTTAGGCTGGGAAAGTGTCCATAAAAGACCCAAGTAAAGGTGAGTTTCACTGTGAAGAAAGAATTAGAGGAAAAGGATTTAGACAGTAAAAAAAGCCCCTTAGCTTCCAATATGAAGGCAAAAAAGGGATCCTAGGTACTCTTTGCTCTGTTTGGTTGACAATTGCACTTGGGGATATAAAAACTACACTGGAATGGCAATTTTGAGCATTTGAATTTGAATGAGTAAAAGTAGTTTTTAATTTTTTAAAATAGCAGAGAATAAGAACCCAAATCCAGATCAGTCCATTCAAGAAGCAGAAATTCTACATTTCTGAAGTCAGTCATAAGAAGGCTAATTCAACAGTCAGGTTGTACATATAGGAAAATAAGGAATACACAAATATATTCCTTCTTGGAGTCCCTTTGTCCTCCTCTAGGTAAGGAAGCAGATGCCATAACTGGAGAAAATGACTTGGGAGTGAAAAGGTGAGATTCTTGCCATAAGTGGAATACAACTTACAGGTGAGCAAGTGGTACTCTTGTAAATCTTCCCATAAAACACACAAGAGAACACATAAAATAGAGAATGAAGATGGCGTAGTTCTTGAAATATCTAGACAAAAGAAAGCTACATGAATGTAAGCCAGCAAATACGCACTAGACAGCACATATAACAAAATGCAGGGAAAAGAAAAAAAAAGAGAGTAACAAAAATTAAACTCAAAACTGAGCCAGTGTGGCAATGGGCTGTGTAAATAGCTCCTGGTTCATACTTTCCACAGTGGCTAGGATATCCATTAAAAAATCTCCAATGCATTATGAAAATGGCATTTAAACAGTTGTAATTATTATTCATTCAATAGGTATGATTTAGTGAACAACTACTATGTTTTCTTTTGCCTGGATATGCAGTCCAATGATTTTTTTCCTGAACATAGTGTTTATTGCAGAACATCACAAATTTACAGAACTGTCAGTTATACAAGTAGGTCCATTACACCTCAACACTTAATCTCTTCAGTGGTTTTAGTATATATTGCCATTCACAGATTAGATAGGTGTCAAATAGAAGTTCAAAAGCTAAATTTGGTAAGGAAGTAGGGCCAAACCTTTTAGTTGGTTCTGGCCTGTAGAATTTAAAATGGAATTTGAGGTTGGAGGGTCATGTAAAATCAGTCATGAAGGAGGAACAAATTGAGGAATTATTGAGTGAGCAATGCATATTGGGATTATTGCTGTTGTGAAAGTAAATGCATCTGAAAGAAAAGGACTGAAAATATACTGAAAATGAAAAGAATGAATGAAAAAAGGCTGAGATGTATTCCAGAAAACCAGAAGACTTCAGAATATAAAAATGAAGTGCCCCTTAATTCTGTATGTTCCTCTATAACAAATGGAAGAAAATAAGAATAATAAAATAAAAGCAAGAATCCCTGGAATAGGGTGATCAACTTTACTTACACTACATCAAATGAAAAAGTCAGTGTAGTCCTGCATTATCTGCATAAATACTTAAGATGATAAAGGTTATTTGTTATAACTATATATACACAGATTCTTGAATACCTAAGCAAATAACTTTTCTGACTGAAAAGAATTATACAATTACACTATACACATTTTAAGAAATAAATATACTCATGATGAGCAGGTCAAAAATTTCTGGAAAGGTCTCAGTTTCTTCGCATCCTTCACTTCCTCCCAATTTTGTGTCTTAAAATATTTTTTTTTCCTTAACTATTATATTTACTATGTTTGCCAGGTTGAACAAATATGACAGCAAATATTTATGAAAGCTCAGGAAAATGTCACTAAGACTGAGAAATTGAAGAGGAATCATCACTAGCAATGTTTCCAGTTGTGTGTGCATCTGTTATTCAAATGACATATCATACTACATATTTCTCACTGTGTTACTGACTGTTTCTTGGAATAACTAGATCTAGAGCACACAAGGGAAAATGAAAAGTCAACACCTCTGACAGAATGTGTGATTTTCGGTACCAATAGGCAAGCGTCACTCATGTTTAACTAGTTTGATAGTAAGAACAGTGAAAGCGTAACATGGATTTTGAGCGCAACCTATGCAAGCCCAGGGGGAAATATGAATGTTTATTTGTGCACTAGTTTGTGCTAATCCTATGTTGTAGTATCGACACTGCAGCCATCAATCTATACATAAATTAGCCTTGCTATACCTAAAAGCGATCCAGTCATATCTCCAACAGCATTATGGGTATACCTAAAATGCTGTGTAGCAAAATTAGTACTGGAAGCAATCAAAACCACTGAAGTGAGCTGACTGCAGTGTCATTTCAGATAGCTTTTATGGAAATGATCACGCTAAATGCTCACAGTGATATTAACTTAAAAACTTAAATGAGAAAGTTAGTTTAAGAGGTTCTAAAACTCAGTAACATAGAATTTCTCATTAAAATCAGCATCTATACTGAAGAACTGGAGGATAATAACTGCTATAGCTATATTTTCTATATTAGCTAGAGTTGACTGTAAGAATCCTGAGATTTATGTCAGACTAGGTAAATTGATTCAATAAAAAATAGTTCCAAAAAATGAGAAAAAGATACTAGATAGACCCATAAAGGTTAATCAAAACATAATGTAGAAAGTAAAGGAATAAAAGATGTTCAACATTTTAAATTGATGGAATGCTAAAGCTGTAAGATACAATCTTGGTCACAATGAAGAGCAGGTGGATTTGAAACATGACCTATTCTGATTTGGCTATATTTTAAAAATACCATAAGAAGAAACTTCAGAGAAGCTAAATACATATTATGCATCTTGAGAATAATCTTTTCATCTCCTCTTCATCTAGAAGGAAAAGTAAAGCCCTAATCACACTTAAAATCTACTCATTTCGTCTTCAAGGCTTATGCGAGTAGAAGGTATGATCCAAGTATTTTTCCAAGTGAAAGATGATTGCTAAAAAAACAAAAGAAAAGAAATCAAAATTAACCCTACACCTCATTGTGAAAACCACTTTTCTCAGGATATAAATAAAGTTATTAAGAAATTTTTAAAAAGGGAAGTTAGCAATGAGATGGCCTGTGGAGTTCAATCCCTTTTTACTCCTGGGTCAATATTATTACATCCTCCCGTACCTGCCTTGCTAATTTTAATGAGTAAGGCTTACCATTTTTTCTCGTTAAATATCTTTAGCATGCAGCTGATGAGTATTTCACAGCATATTTTTAATCTTTGAATTGATCCTATTAAGAGAAGGGATAATGCCTAATTTAATTTAGCACTCATTTCTTCATACTTAACTGCTGTTTTCTAGATTTTATGCATCTAACCAAAGGCACCTCCTGGTTCAGAATTTCTACATGATAAGATTTGTATAATGTATAAGTATAGAGGGCCATATTTTAAATGACTAAATTTAAAATTTAAAATTTTTCCATTAAATTACTTTTATTGCTAATACAGTCAGAATAAAAGAGTTTTTCTTTAGCTGAACAGTGACGT